ACACAGGCCCAGAAGACGAGAGCTCTGACTCCGGCTCTGACAGAACTTGGACTCGATCACTCAACCTCACTGCTTGGTTCCTCCACCTCTGCAGGCCATGTCCACCCACCTGCTCCTGGCCTCTGCAGCCTTCCAGAATTACAGCAGGAAAGTGACTCCCACCTTTAAAAGCTGAGGGGAATCAGAGAATGTTCTTCCAGTCCTTTTATCCAGACTAACCAGAGGCTGCTAGAGCCGACAGGATCATCTAAAGCATGAAGGACAGAGTTTGGGAATGGAAGGAAAATGGGGAGGAAAAGAGAGAAAAGCAACCAGCCCTACTTGAGGTGTGGCCTACCTGGGACCATGCCATGTGTAATGCATACAATGAATTAGCCACATGCCTCTTCCAGTAAAAGATCTGGGAAGTCTGATCCAAAGAGGAAAAGCTAATTCATGTGCCTCAGAAGTCTTATAGGAAAAGGGGGGGAAGTTCTCTTTACCCAAGTCAAGAAAACAGATATAGATGCCCAACTTCCATTGCATTACTTGTCAGGAGAATTTGTGCAAACTTGTTGAAGAGGCTTCCTGAACTACTTTCTCAAATCAGTAATTTTGGTCATGGAAGAACTCAGAGGAACCACCTTGTTATTTTCTCAAAGGTCTCCAAGGTGGAACTTTCTCACTGATGAGTCAAGCCCTGAACTCAAAGTGGCAAGGAAGAAAACACGTATTACTGATTTGTCCAGACACTCTGATGTAAGTTCCCATGTGAGCACACATATGGCAGCTGGGGACATACTGATTCCCTTTTCTGATCTTCCCTGAACTCTGCAAAAGCCCCAAAGATTTTAAGGAACTTCTATTAGGTGAATAGGAAGTCATAATTCAAGAAGAGATTCATAGAGTTTGATTTTAAAAATCATGGTTTTAAGTTTCTGTAGTTAACCTCAGCATATATCTGAATTATTAAATATCCACCATGTCAGTGTGGTTCAGTTTCAAGAACTGATTGGACCAAAAACCCAGCCATGCGTGCAAAGAAGCTACAAGACCTTGGGATCCTAGAAATGATTATATGAATCCACAAATTTTTGTAACGTTTCTGACCATGTGTCAAAACTCTGAGGAATGTTTGCATCTACTTAGCTATGTGAAAGTGCATTATCTTTCATAAAATGGCTAAAATCCAAACTGAGAGCTGAAATCAGGGTTGAAAATCTGGCATCTGAAGTGAAATTGCATTTAGGAATTCTCAAAAAGAGTTCACCTTGCTACGTATATGTATATTTGGTCCACATCAGTTGACCACCAGTAAGAGGCTCAGAATTCTACAGTACGGTATGAATAAAATTGACTGTTTTTAGAATAGTTTTTTCTTGGCCTCACCAGCCTGTGCATTACACATCATTTCATATGGTGATAACCCAGGTTTCATGGGCTGTGGCAGGTAAGGTCCCAGGGAAACAGTTTATTAAGGAGTGCTTTGGGGATCAATACCTGTGAAGGGAGAAGGACAAGTGGGATGACACAGAGGGGGACGTTAAGTGGCGATGCAGTTTTCAGCAAAAACATCAGCCAGTCTACGTGGAGTTCTCAATCTGGGGTTCAGAGTTGTCTCAAGTTAGAGCAAGAAGGTCGGGTCTTTCCGCTTTCGTGTTGATCATTCAACAGAAGTCATTCCTGGCAGGAGGTGTGCTCTTCAGATCATGCAGGCTGTATTCTCTAGGTGAGGCAAGGCTCACAGGCTAACAGCTGAGGGCCATCTTCTGACAGCATTCCCAGCATCTTGGAAATAAGACCTTCATTCCTGAACAAGAATCTTGCTGAGTAGGAGTCATGATAGTGCATCAAAGCTTCTACAACAAACACCCCCTTGCAGTTCTTGTATCCTCTCGTAGGCTCTGGGAAAGTTTCCCTCAAGATACTAGTGAGCCTCTGTTCCTAGTGAGAACTTTATTTATTTATTTTTTTGAGACAGAGTCTGTCTCTGTCACCCCAGCTGGAGTGCAGTGGTGTGATGTCAGATCACTGCAACCTCCGCCTCCCAGGTTCAGGCAATTCTCCTGCCTCAGCCTCCCAAGTAGCTGGGATTACAGGCATGTGCCACTACACCTGGCTATTTTTTTGTATTTTTAGTAGAGACGGGGTTTTACTGTGTTAGCCAGGATGGTCTCAATCTCCTGACCTGATGATCTGCCCACCTCAGCCTCCCAAAGTGCTGGAATTACAGGTGTGAGCCACTGCACCCAGCCCTCCCTAGTGGGAACTTATAAGAGGAAGATTAGTGGGACAAATTATAATCCTGTTGCTAGAGCTGGTTTGAGGGTGACATTAATGCTTATCTTCTCTCTCCTCTGTTATCCATTGAAGATTTCCCTCACTCTCAAGAGGTACCTCTTCTGATCTCAGTGGATTTCCCGGTGTTAAGAGCAGTTGCTTATCCCTGAGAGGTCTGAACTTCCTGGTCATTATGTCCTTCATAAGCTATAGTCTATTTACTTTAAAAATTGGAGAAGGAAGTACCAAGAGGTGCCTAAGTAAATCACTGAGGTTATCTGTGTATTCTTCCCTTCCTTGTATGTTACAGTAACCTTCCTTCTTCCTGATGACCTTGATCAGATTCAATTATCCTTTCCAAGATGGCAACTCCCCTTTCTTGCCTGTGGTCTGTCCCCTTGGTGCAAGGAGTGCCCATGGATCAGCCACAGTTATGAGTCAATGGACTGTTGCTGTGTCCCCTGTCAGAAGCATTGCCCCTTAATAAATGAGTACCTCAAAACCCACAAAGCCCAGTGTCTTGAGATTCTCCAAGTAGGTCACTAGGAGTGATGGTTGGCAGAGACACTCCCGTTTCCGCTCCTTGGTTCCTGGACTTATGTATTGTACCCATGTGAACGCAGTACCATATAATACTCTTTGATTTAAAATGTATCCTGTCTCCTGGAGAATGGTGCTTCATCCTGACAAGGCATCACTTAGGGGCTGGCATAATGGCTAAGCCCCAGCGGGTCAGTCTATACCATTGCTTCATGTGGCTTGAAGCCTCTGGGTATCATAGCATGTGATAGAGCCAGCGGAGTTCATGGGCATGTGCCCATTCCAACAACTCCTTTGCTGAAAAGTGGCTTCTTGCCCTGATGTGAGATTATATGGATCCCATGAAAGTGGATTTTACACTACAGATGCCCTTGGATAGTGGTGCTGGCGAGCGTGCTAAGGGCAGGAAATGTGAACGCAAGCCCCGCATATGCGCCCGTTCAGGTTAAGATGAATTGCTGCTGCTTCCAGGGTGGAAGACGTCCGATGTACTGAATTTGCCAGAGTGTCCTTGAGGGATGTGTTGGTGTCCTTGGGGGAGAGGCTCTACTGGGACCCTAGTATCACTCTCTGCTGCTAGAATGATAGACATTTGGCAGTAGTGGGGGCTGGAAACGCTTCGGTAAGTGGGAGCCGATACGAGTGGGCTCGTGCACAGCTTCCATACCTGCCACCGTCGCTGTTCTATTCATGTGCTGTCGTGCCGGCACTGGAGTGGGTGATGACAGAGGCTGCTGTCAACTGGGTAATCTTTTGTCTACCTGAGTTTAGTGCCTCTCTTGTGGGAGGTTTACATGCGATACAAAGACCTTCAGCACTCCTGTAGTCCATGCACATGGAGACTCCGGACCTCCTTGTGGTCAGTCTGTCTCCTCCTAGGCCCCTGCCCAGTCAGGCCATTTGGTACTGCCCACAAGTCTGTACATATCACAACCCCAGGCCACTTCTCTTTCAAAACAAGGTGTATGACCAGGGACACCACCGTCCACTGTCTTTTAAGGCCACCCTTAAATGGGGCTGTAGTGCAGTTCCCATTCATTTTCAGCTTGCACTGATGTACAGAGCTGGCCCATCCATGAAGCAAGCTTGAGCTCCTTCCTCTTCAATCAGCTCATCATAAGGGTCTTGCATATGGCCATGGGTGTAAGCTCAGAGGGAAGTGCTGCTACGGTCATAACGGACGGCTATTGTGCAGCTTGACTGTGCCCTCTGGTCCTGCCCTGGTTTAATCCCAGATGTACCAGTCCAGTCTAACAACGGATTATTCCAGGGCCTATCTGGTGATATGACACAGCGGTCTGCCAGAACCCAGCTCCCGATGGGCTGCCTCGGCCACACGGTCACTTTCCATCCCATGGTCAGATAGTGCGTCTCTATGAGGTCCCCGCAGCATGGCAGCACTGCTGTTGTTCATAGTTGTAGAATTCTCTGCTGTGGGCGGCATAATCTTGTTCCAGGCTTGTTAGTGATTAAACAAATTCAATAAATCACCTCCAAATGAAGACAGTAAAGTTTTTACGCTTTTATTTTTCAAAACCACAATTTTCTCATCATTTTTAAAAAGCTGAATCACATAGTAAGAATATTCAGTGTGACTTTGGGACTTTTAGATATGATTTTTTTTTTAAAAAAAGGTCCATTCACACTAATCTTTGCTTATTTATACCCCTCAAATCTACAAATAGAGCAGGATGAAATGAACAAATAAAAACACTTAGGAGGAAGTTAAAAATATGGCTTGGAAAAATAACACAGGGCCAAGTTAAAGCTAGCAGACTAAAGCACAAGCCAGAGGTCCCAGCCAGTTGCGGCTGTGCACTGCAAACGCCATTCTGGGTTCCACTGTGATTGCTGCCAAGACACCATGACTCAGCACTCTCCCTGAGACCCGTCACATCCAATGCAAGGAGACAGGTCACCCCATCACCCATTTCATGCACACACCGGGATGCAGATGCGCTGGGTGAAGACAGGGCTGAGCTTTCTGCATTTGGAAAACTGCCTGAGGTGGTGGAGGGCGGGGGAGTTGCATGTGAAGATAGCCTAGACAGTGTAACTCCATTTGGTTTAAAAAAATGTCAAAATGACTTGAACTTAGCCTGGGTCCTCCAGACAGCAGATCCTGAGACAAAGGCTTGAGTGCAAACATTTATTGGGATATGTGATCTTGTCTCTTGCTCCTACTTGGATATCTCACTCTAAGTAGGAGTAAGAGACAAGAATGAAGGACAGGATGGAAACCAACACAAGCATGAGTTATGAAGTCGGCCACAGCTCCCGGCGAATGGTTCCTGGCTCTTTCTGGGCTGCCTAAGGGGTTGCATGAAAGATTTTTCAGGGCTGTCCATCTGGGGGAAGAAAGGAAAACATTTATCCATTAGCACTTAGACTCCATTGCTCACTCCTGGGTTGGGCAATGCATGGGCCACCTATGGCTCAGAGCAGCTCCAAGGCAGACTCTGGAAGCTCCAGCAGAGGTGTGAGGCGAAGGCATGAGGCAAGACCCCAGCAGGAAGCTGCTCAGAACCTGCAGCCATGGCTGGAATGAGGGACAAAGGACAACCAAAGGCATTGGGGTCGTACCCAAGAGGTACCTGATGCACAGTCCAGGGTTAAAATTGGTTGTTGCCTTAAAAGCATCTTCTTAGAATCTGTTCATCTTTAGCAAATTGGTGATCCCTAGGTAGTGGCCCCTGTAAGGGTTAAGTAATGTCTGCACGGTACTTGTTTCAGTACCACTCCATCCATGTTCAGAGCCAACATTTGCAAAGTATGTTCTTTGCTTCCTGCGTCAAAATATGAAGCTTGCACAAATGTGCCGTAGATTATATCTGAAAACAGATTTACTCTGTACATTTAGTCTAGCACACGCTGCCCAAGTTAATGTCCTATACAGAAAACAAAGAGGTAAACGAATAAAACCGTTCATTTTACACACATGGGTAAGAAACCGTATCTCCGCTCATTTTCAGAGCATCTTTGAATTTCCAGAAGCAGCTTTCTTTTAGGCTGAGCGGTTTAAATACAGTTTGAAAATAATGTGAATTTTCACACTATGTTCTCATATATTGCCCTTGAAAATTTTTCTTCTCTGAAAATATAGTGTTGATTCTTTTATGGCCAAATTAAGCTACAACAAATAAGGTACTATTCTATTTACTTTTTCTTATAGTCTTTATTGTTTAAAATAATATGGTCCTCTGGAGGCCAAGACAGGACAATTTTTAAGCCCAGCCTGGGCAATATTTTAAGCCCAGTCTGGGAAACATAGCAAGACCCCTATCTCTACAAAATAAAAAATTAGCCAGGCGTGGTGCTGTGCACCTCTAGTCCCAGGTAATAAGGAGGCTGAAGAAGGAGAATCACTTGAGCCCAAGAGTTCAAGGCTGCACTGAGCTATGACTGCACAGCTGCACTCCAGCCTGGGCAACAGAGCCAGACTCTGTCTCAAAAAAAAAATGCTTCTCTGGCTCATAAACCTGTTGCTGAGAAGCTTGCCACTGGCTACTAAGCCAATCCTTGGAAAACTGATTGTAAGCAGTGTTTTGGATCTTGCTACACAGCTGCTCAACTCTTCTATTTGAGAATGAAGTGTAATGAAATTACAGCTTAAACTTATTGAAAGGAAGAGCTCAGTAATACCAGTAAAGACTTGGAATCTTTCTAGCTGGAAAAGCAACAAATGGCCAAGGCGCAGAAGGCTTCACTCAAGCTCAGAGGCAGCAAGCTGAGAAAATCCAGTCCCTCGGGCCATCGGCCACTGTGATCCCTCTCCATTAATACACCAGGGTTAATTAGTTAAATTAACCTATTAGAGGTTGGATATTTAATTTTTAATTAACCAATTATTAGCAATTTAAATAAAATTTATATCTACCATGAGAATTCTACATGCCTCTAAGAGTTTTTAAAGTCTTATCAAGTCTGTAAGTTAGATACTATTATCCCTATGTACAAATAAAGTACCTGGGCACAGAGATGCCAAGGAAGTACTCCAAAGTCATGCAGCTAAGAAGTGCCAGGATTTAAACTCAGGTGACACTGTAGAGCACCCCCAATGCCTCCTTCACCCACATCCTCAATGCTCTCTATTTTTTTTTTTTTTTTTGAGACAGAGTCTGGCTCTGCTGCCTAGGCTAGAGTACACTGGTGCAACTTGGCTCACTGCAGCCTCTACCTCCTGGTTCAAGTGATTCTCCCACCTCAGCCTCCCAAGTAGCTGGGACTATAGAGGCCTGCTACTACACCTGGCTAATTTTTGTATTTTTAGAAGAGATGGGTTTCACCATGTTGGCCAGGCTGGTCTTGAACTCCTGACCTCAGCTGATCTGCCCACTTCAGCCTCCCTCGATGCTCAGTTTGTCAAAACCAACCATTTATCACATGGCCTAACAAAGAAATCAAGGGGAAGGAGCTGACCTTCATTATGGCAAATTAATCTTGTGCAGATCCCCTGATTCCAGGTCCTTCTGCCTCACAGAGCCTAGGAGGAGTTGGGGGAAACGGTGGTGCAAAGTTAACATTGAGTTTCATCGCTGTCCTCCAGCTGCAAATGTTACTAGATGCTTCTTCAACAAACTATCTGAAAACAGTGCACACGAGTGCGTTACAGGCTCTGTGAAATCCTGCAGTTAAGAAACTTGTTTGCCGGAGGATCTCTTTTTGAGGAACACTGACTTGACACCCATTTGGAAGAAGGCAGTTTTGTAATCACCAAGGTGCAGAATATCACAAAATAATACATTCGAAACTATAGCCCCTTGGTACCAGGCAGTTCCACTGGTACTCAGAATGGAGCTATTGCAGTTTGCCCTGGCATCCCAAACAGAAGGTGTATGTATGGGTTTCTAACGTAAGAGGAGTCTGACTATTCATTGGGGGGCATGACGGGCCAGGCACAAGTGCTGGCTGTGGCGTTTCCATCCATGAAGAGAATGGCCAGTTTCTGCCTTACGAAGCTTGCAGTCCATTGGGGAGGTGAACTTTGCCTGGTCGTATATGCGATGAGTATTACAGAAGAGAAGAGGAAAGAGCTACAGGATCCCGTAACCAGAGGACCTGATCTTGCCCAGGCACCAGGGAAGTGACATTTCACCTGAGGCCTGTGGAATGAGCGGAAGGGGAATGGGTTGGGGGTCCGCCATGCAGGGAGACCAGTGTGGGCAATGGGCTTTTCTCCTGGTAGGTGTCTACTCACTCTTCCAGCCTGCACCTGGCACCCTCCCTCCCTCCCCGGGAGCTGGGCTGAGGGCTGCCCTACTGCTATCTGTGGTACTTGTCACGCAGAGCCCTGGCAAGCTGTTTGCCTGTACGCAGGACCCTTCACCTCATGAAGAGCATCTCAAGGACTAGGAGTCTCGTTTCTTGTATCCCTGGTCCACTGTCTTATCTCCAGCACACATGGGGCACCCATCAAAATGTTAGTGAAAGGAAAGGAGGAAGGGAGGGAGGGAGGAAAAGACGGAACAAAGTAATGAACGAATCCCTAGCTGCAGGCACAGGTTAATTCTCCACGTCTTCTTTTCTGTCATAGAGAAAAGGAGCACAGTTAGACTCAGTGTTCACAGGACCCTGCCTTCACCACCCATTAATTTATTCTCTAAACATTTGCGGAAGATGCCAGAGACAGATGCAGCGTTTTCAAGAAGTTTATGATCTAGGGGTGGAAGCGCAACAGATCTGCAATTCTTTCATCTTTTTGCCCACATAAAGCAGCCGAGGCACGATGAATTTTGATGTCAACTGTCCAGGCAGGACTTTGTCCCAGCCCAGGGACCCGGACGAGGCCAAGGACGGAGATGAATCCCCCTCTCCACTGTAGTTGCAACATACTCTTCTGCCCATTCCCTTGATGCCCCCGCAAGGGGCGGGACGAGCCTGAAATCCATCTGCCCCAGGAGAAGGGCCTCCAGGCCAGCGCGGCTTGCCCTTCTGCAGACACCCGCGCATCTGTGCGTCCCGGGCGCGGCGGGCCCAGCGCCCACTCCGCCCTCCCCCTCCCCCTCCCCCGCACCACGTCACCCGGGTCACGTGAGTGACCAGGCCCCACACCCCAACCCCCCGCACCCGCGCCAGACTCAGCTGCTCTCCCCGGGAGCTGGGGAGCCGGGGGCGGGCAGCCGCGTCTGCTCGGGCCTCTCCTCGCCCCCTGCCCTGCAGCCCGAGGAGGGCGTTAAGGAAGGGCTCCGGAGAAATTAGAACCAGTGTTCTAAATTAAGGGGAGCAGATGTCCCTGTTTTGCTCGCGAGGCCTGGGTGGCCTGCTGTTCAGACAGAAATCGTTGAGGCGCTGACCTTCCGGGGCCGCTGTCAATCTCCGCGTGCAGATGGCCAGCCCGGAGCCTCGCCGCTCCCCGCATTGGAAATGCGGCAGCCGGGGGTGCGGCAGCTTGAGAGAAACGTCTGCGCGGGGCGGGGGCGGAGGGGCGGCCGGGGAGGCAGAGGGCAGGAGAAAAAGGCCGGCCCGCGCACAATGGAGTCCCTGCGGCGGCCCCTTCGAGGACAATGCGGTCCCCCGGGACCCGCGGTGGGTCGCGCCAGGCCAGTCCGAGCTCCAGCTGCCTCTTCAGAACAAGGCAGTGCAAATGTGCCCACTTGATTCTAAATCCTCTTAGGCGCTGTCCATGTGAGCAAGGAAAGGAGTGGCCCTACGATCCTTTACAATCGGAGGCCGGGGGAGGCCTGGGAGCCCCGAAGCTCCGGAAAATGTCTCACTATACATGCAAATGGGTCATTTGCTTGGAGAGACGCATCTGGCGACACCGGCAGAAAGGCCCTCTGCCCGGTAGACTGTGAACAAAACCCAGCCGGCAGCGTGCAGTAAATACCCCTCTCTGGCCCTTCTGGGCCACCCAGAGTCCTGAAAAATTTTCAGGGTGTTTCCCCTGGAAGAGACGTCCCATGAAATGTTCAGAAAAGCCAGCTGAGTTGTGCAAAGTCATTAGTCACCCAGGTATTTACACTGTTTTTCCTATTTCCTTTCTCTCTTGGCCTCTGTGGTCAGTGGTATAAAATTCCTAGGAACTCCCACCTAAACACTAGCTTCCTGTTTATTCTCAGCGGCTTTAATGTTTCACAGTTAAAAGCAGTTGACCAAGACTCTGAAACAATGAGGAGAGGTTCGCAGGTGAATCGAAAAAGTTTTTAAATTAAAAATGATATCTATTGGTCAGGTCAAAGGTCCAGGTTCATTTTTAATGCTTCTGTCAGAATCACAGAGGGGAAAAGGTAAAATGAAAATGTAACTTAATGCCTAAGATCTTGGTTCAGTTTCATTTGGCCCCTGTGTCTACATGAACCTATAAAATCCGATACATTGAAGTATGAATGTTTTCATTTCTAGCAGTGGAAGGCCTTTTTTTCAAAGCGGCATGACATTCTTTGGTTAGAGAAGGTTAAAGTTCATGCATTAGCACAATCTGTGTGCTCCTGCGTGTGCCTTACACCTCGCTATGCCTGTTCTGCCTTAAGTTCCTGCTGCAAAACCTTGCATTTACAGAGCCATCTGAATGGCAGCCTCCCTGGCCTGGAAAAGAAACCTCCAAGTTATCTCATTGAGCCCTTTTCTGATACAGAATTCCCTGTATGGCTCCCAGTGCATAACTATTCTCTGATAGGATCCCTCTAGTAATGAGACCCTTCCTACCTCGAATTTTAAAAATTTATTTATTTTTATTTAATTAGTGTTTTGTTGTTTTTTTTTTTTTTTTGACGGGGTTTTGTTTTTTTTTTTTTTTTTTTTTTTTTTTGAGACGGGGTTTTGCTCTTGTTGCCCAGGCTGGAGTGCAATGGCGCCATCTCGGCTCACTGCAAACTTCACCTCCCAGGTGCAAGGGATTCTCTTTCCTCAGCCTCCTGAGTAGCTGGGATTACAGGCATGCACCACCATGCCTGGCTAATTTTGTATTTTTAGTAGAGCTGGGGTTTCTCCGTTTTGATCAGGCTGGTCTTGAACTCCTGACCTCAGGTGATCTGTCTGCCTTGGCCTCCCAAAGTGCTGGGATTACAGGCATGAGACACTGCGCACCGGCCTATTTTTTTAAAAATTAATCAATTTATTTTTTAGAGACAAGGATCCACTCTGTCACCCAGGCTGGAGAGCAGTAGAACCATCATAGCTCACTGCAGTGTCTAACTCCTGGGCTCAAGTGGATCCTGCACCACAGCCTCCTAAGCAGCTGGGACTACAGGCACACGCCACCATACCTGACTAATTTTTAAAATTTTTTGCAGAGTTGGCTTCTTGCTATGTTGTCCAGGCTGGTTTTGTTTTGTTTTGTTTTGAGATGGTGTCTCACTCTGTCACCCAGGCTGGAGTGCAGTGGCGAGATCTCAGCTCACTGCAAGCTCTGTCTCTCAGGTTCCTGCCTCAGCCTCCCAAGTAGCTGGGATGACAGGCATGCGCCACCATGCCTGGCTAATTTTTGTATTTTTGGTAGAAACGGGGTTTCACCACTTTGGCCAGGCTGGTCTCAAACTGATCTACCTGCTTAGGCCTCTCAAAGTGCTGAGACTACAGGCGTGAACTGCTGCACCTGGCCCCAGGCTAGTTTTGAACTCCTGGCCTCCAGTGATTCTCCTGCCTTGGCCTCCCAAAGTGCTGGGATTACAGGTGGTAGCCACCATGCCTGGCTGACAATCTATACATAAAACCAAAATATGCCTCCACTTATGGAGTCATGCAGAACAAATCTAATTTCTTTTGCACATGTTACCCTACAAATATTTTGGAGATAGCTCTGCTGTCCCCACAGTCTTCTCCCTGCTTGACATCCTCAGATCCTGCAGCAATTTCTCTCATGGGTCCGAGTCTCTCACATCACCCTGAGTTATCTTGGGATGCTCTAGTTGGTGTAGATCCTTTTCAAACTAAAGACAGAAATTCAATTCATGCTGAAACTCAGCTTCTCAGGCAGCATGGGGGAACATGGGCTAAAACCAAAAGGAGGAAGCAGTTGGACCATGTTCGAGTTACTCAGACAAAACTACATTTCAGTTTTTCATTTTAGTTCTTTTCTCCTCTAGGTCTGTTATGCCAGACTCAGTTATGAAGCCTAGGAAAGCAGAAAAAAGCCCTACTGTGTGCTAGTTCATGTACTTGCATTTTAACCTCACGGAGACCCTCTGAATGGTTTCCCTTTTTACATAGCTAGTAGGTGGGAGGGCTCATGCGTCTGACCTGCAACTTATTCTTTACATGATACAAAGCTGCTGCTGCAGACATTTCCAGCTAAAACTAAGATCCTGAATTTATTTTTCAGCATATTCCATGGCATACAGCTTTTATTCAAGGCCAGCTTGTATATATCATATTTATACAGCGACAAGAACTTTTGAAATCCAAGTTAAGAACTTTAAGGAGAAAAAAAAGTTCTTTTTGGAAGCAAATGAAACAGAAATTCCAAGTTAAAGCCAAAAGTCATCCTGAACATGCTTTTATTCCAATGGCATTACTTAACAGCAAAGTGTTGTATTACCCTTGAATTTCCTGCCTAGGCTAAGGGTAGGCCAGGCTGTTGATGCTGTTTCGATTGCTCCATGTATCCCAGCTATATCACAAGCAATGCCATCACCCTTTACTTGTGCCTGATCTCCAACTTGTCAGTTAGTCAAGAAGGAGGAAAGAATCTGTTTCCCATGCACACACTGTAATTTTTTTTTTTCCAGTGTTGCTAAGCCTGCCAGAACAAAAGTAAAACCACAAAACAAGATTTAGATCGGTGTCTTGATCAGCCTGCTGCTATTTTACAGTTTTAGGAGGGTTGGACATCAAACACTTGAAACTGTCATCTACACATTCCTTCTCAGAATAAAGAAGCATTGGCACGTACCCCTGCTAAATTATTCTCTACCCCCAAATGTTGGAAACTTTCTCTCCAGGAAAATGCTCTACAGAAGGCACATTGAATTAATGGAGTTAGTTCTGAGAAAGGTTCTTACTAAGATGAACTGTCATAAGCTGACTTCCGGCCAGGTGGACTCGAAGCCTTAGCAGGAATGTTGCTTAGACATTTAGCTTTTTCTAATTTGTTTGCTATTATAAACAGTGCTTGAGAAACCTAAAGTACCCCCTGCCCCCTACAAATTACTATCACATTGATCTGTTTATCTTCTGTATAATTACTTATCCCAAAAGAATGTTTCATTGCTTGCATGCTTGTTTCTGGTCTACTTTCTTTCTCTGGATCATCGCCTGGGCATGACACAAGTTACCTCTTCTATCTTGCTTATTACCATGTAGTAAGAACTCAGGAAATACTTTTGAATGAGTGTATCTTTCATGCACATGTATTTTACTGTTGTACAATTATCTTCTTAAGATAAATCTTTTGAGTAGTCAAATTCATAGACACAGAAAGTAGGATGGTAGTTGCCAGGGGCTAGGGTTGGGGGAAATGGGAAATTAGTGTTTGATTATTTACTTTTATTTTATTACAATTATTACTTTTGAGAGAGGGTCTCACTCTGTTGTCTAGGATGGAATACAATGGTGTGATCATGGTTCACTGTAGCCCCAAACTCCTGGACTCAAGCAATCCTCCTGCCTCAGCCTCCAAGTAGCTGGGTGGGACTGCAGATGCACACCACCACACTGGCTAATTTTTTAAAAATTATTTTTTGTAGAGACAGGGTCTCACTATGTTGCCCAGGCTTGTCTCAAACTGCTGTCCTAAAGGACCCCCTGCCTTGGCCTCCCAAAGTGCTGGAATGACAGGCATGAACTACTGCACCTGGCTGAGAGTTAGTGTTTAATAGGTGCAAAGTTCCAGTTGGGGAAGATAAAAAAGTTCTGGAGATCGGCCGGGCGCGGTGGCTCAAGCCTGTAATCCCAGCACTTTGGGAGGCCGAGGCGGGTGGATCACGAGGTCAAGAGATCGAGACCATCCTGGTCAACATGGTGAAACCCCATCTCTACTAAAAAAAAAAATACAAAAAATTAGCTGGGCATGGTGGCACGTGCCTGTAATCCCAGCTACTCAGGAGGCTGAGGCAGGAGAATTGCGTGAACCCAGGAGGCGGAGGTTGCGGTGAGCCGAGATCGCGCCATTGCACTCCAGCCTGGGTAACATGAGTGAAACTCCGTCTCAAAAAAAAAAAAAAAAAAAAAAAAAAAAAAGTTCTGGAGATGGATGGTGGTGATGATTTCACAACAGTGTGAAACTACTCAATGCCACTGAGCTGCACACTTACAAATGGTTACAATTTTAGTTGCCTCACGTCTTGAACAAATTGAAGCTGTGTTAACTTTAAAAAATATATATGTGTCTGAAATACAATTGTATATGTGTATATAGATATGTAAAATATTATTTTATAAAGAGGAAACCAGAACAAAAATATTTTACATTTACCTGTAAAATGGTTAAATGGTAAATTTTATAGTATATATGTTTTACTAAGATAAAAATAAACAAATTTGTTGAATTAGCATTCTTGGGCTAAGGGTAAGGGTGCATATTTTAAGCTGTGGTATATATTTCCACACTGCCCTTCAGAACAGTGATGCCAATTTGCATAACAACTCAACAGGGCATAAGAATTCCCATTTCAGCAGTGGGTTTTCTCAGTCTCTTTATTCTTTGTATTTAATAGGCAAAGACAAAGACACACACACACACACACACACACACACACACACTTTTTTATT